TGCTGAGCTTGCTGTTATTTTGAGTGTAACTGTGTTGAAGAGAATCGAAGAATCCCTCCTTTCCCATATGACGGACATCATCAGATCAGAGTATTCCTTTTGCACCAAAGACAAGCCAATACACATAAAAAACATATTTTAAAGCCTATTTACTTGTTCCAAGCCTATGTATTTCCATGTGGTACAGAGTGATTTTATTGTTTCACGTCATATGTCACTTTAGAGGCAGTGATGGCTCCAGATAATAAGAATTGAGCTCAACTGTCACACTCAGCCATTTAGTTTTACTGACCATTTATAAAGTCATCACAATCGAGTTGAGCTTTCTTGCATGCGTCTATGTGTCTGTCGGTAACGTTAATCATAATGTTACATTAGGGTCAATGGAGTCCACGTCATCTTCTGATGAGATCGACCTTTAAGCCCTCTTTATCACACATTTTCACTCGATACGTTAGTCACCTCAACAATTGACTCTGATATTCTGCATTTATCAATTGGCATACTCAACTTCACCTACCGGTTGCATGCTCAGATCGTTGAGGACGAAGATTGAACCTGGAATGAACCACTTATCGTTCCAGTGGCATCGATAGCAGTAAAGCCGGCCAGTGAAATGGCAGATGCGCACAGGCCTCGGCTTCGTAGGAATATCATCTTTAGCCACACCCACCGAGTCATCACCTTCTCGAGGGTCGCCGTCCACCTCCTCATCGTAGTCATCATCTTCATCGTACACACTCTCCCTCTTCAGCCACTTTTCTTCTGACTCCCCAGTCTCGCCATGACGGTCATCTCCTGCAGGGTAGCCATCAATGTTGAAGGTAAGTGCTTTGCCGCTTGTCGTGGAGTTTTTGCGATTGTCCGTCTTGATCAAGCTCAGCTTCCTACGCCCAACGATGCCATTGCCGTCGCTGCCACGACCACCGCTCTGGTCAGTCAGACCACCGGCCCGAAGACTGTCCGCTCGTCCCACTATCCCTTTACCAAGCCAAGCCTGCCAGGCCGGCTTCTGCACATTTGCTGAACCGGGTCCTCCAGGCGCGGAGTTTGTTGGCTGTCGTACGGTGAATCCGATGGACGGATTAAGTACACGCTGACACTCGAAGCAGCGATTAGCCTGAAGGCTGGTGATAGCAGACAGAAAGACTGACTCGAGGTGTAGATACGACTGGAGACGTAGACTGACGATAGGATATTTACCTTAAGTGAGAGAAGGTAAATACGAAAAATAAGTAACGTAGTTGATTGTTATAGAAAATATACGTTTGCTTCAACGACAATCCCACCAAAGAATGTGATATGGGAAAAGACCTGGCCTTCCTTGAAAGTTACATTTGCCCTGTGACCCAAATGCACTCGTGGCAATGTGGCCGAGTTGTTGACGTGTCAATATCTCATCCTGCACTGTCACAGTTCGACTCCTGCTAGGGGTGTTGCTAAGACCGATGCGAGGTCGAAACTGCAGTCCACTCCAGTCGGAATGAGGAAACTTTTAAGAAGGCAAGGCAATGTGAGATTCAATGGAAACGTCAGCTCTTTTCATATCATTGTGGAAAAGATTAAATACCAGTCCTTTATCAGCTTAATCGAAATAGGGTTAATACATTACATATTTGTGATTTATTGGTAGTCTCGAAACTCTACTTAAATACAAAAAATAAGTAACGCAGTCGATTGTTATAGCAAATATAGGTTTGCTTCAACGACAATCCCACCAAAGAATGTGATATGGGAAAAGACCTGGCCTTCCTTGAAAGTCACA